ATAAATTTGAATAGAACAATTAGGTGAACCATTAGATAATTGAGCAAGAGGTTCTTGTTGCTGTTCTTGTATCTTATCGCATATGCTATCCATATCTTTCATAGTCTTTTCCAAACCTAGATGAATCTTCCATAAGCTATGTATGAAATCAAAAACAAGGCCTTTGTCTGCAGACAAATCATATGGAATTTCAAGATCAAATATTAGACATACACGACATAACGGGGGACCTGGCTGATCCATTATGTATATCTTGAGCTTTGTTTCTGTTTTATAAAAAAGTGAAAAGGTTTTAGAATAATTACCAGATTTTCAATCAAAAAATAAAAAATAAAAAAATAAAGCATAATAAAAATACCATAAATGTGAAAAAGGAACACTTCAATTTCACACAACTGCTTCCATAAATCCTCATAATCTTTTAGTTGTTTAAAATTTTTTGTGATTAACTGATCAGTCATCACATTTTTTGAATCTCGGCCAAATCAAAACAACTTGTATAAATCAGAAGAATTTTTATCTGGTTTGGATGCAAATGGGGTACCAGATGTTTCTTCATACAAAATCTCTTGTGTTGTACCAGCAGCCTTCATTAAAAACCAAAAATCTGGTTTTCAAGGATATGTTCCCTTACAAAATTTTGAGGCAAGAGATCCGGTTTCACCTCTATTAATTTTAGATATTTCAGATACAGTGCTCAATAAAAACCAAATTCTAAATTAAAGGAAAAGAAAGGAATACATACCATTACTTAAAGCTATGTGCACTCAATTGACGCGTGAGGATTTTTAACAAAGGATCTAATGTAAGGCGGCTCCAAGTTCCCTCTGAACCAGGGTTGGCAAATGTGTGGTCCATTGGTGGTCCATTGGGTCCATTAGTGTAGCACTTTAACCATATTTAGTATTTTACTAATGGCAATGGACCAGTCCAAAATCCATCTGTTCTCAATGGACCAGTCAATTTGCAACCCTGCTCTGAACAATAATTATTTTCAAAGTTCTCATCTCTCAAAGAAAACCTTATTAAAGTTAGTGAAGATAATATTAAACATGATATCATAGTGATGATTAGCATTGTTTTAAAAAATTCTTTTGTACTAGAAAAGAGAAATAAAGAAAAACATATTTACAAATGTTTACAAGTATCATGCATAAAGAAATAAAAGTTGTGAGCCCGATCTTCATCATTCACCTTTCCAAAATCATCATATAAATATCTTTCTCTATCGTCATAGAATTTTGTGAATAAATCTTCAAAGCTTGATAATGGTTCACTGTGATAAAGATTTGGAATACAGGCTATATTATTATAAATAGGAATTGGGAGAAATTTCATAATCTCTTCTGGTTCTGTTAAGTCAACAATAAATGAAAGCATAGGATGATTATAGTCTAATGATTTTATTGTTTGCCACAGGGTTGGCAAATGTGTGGTCCATTGGTGGTCTATTGGGTCCATTAGTGTAACACTTTAACCATATTTAGTATTTTACTAATGGCAATGGACCAGTCCAAAATCCATCTGTTCTCAATGGACCAGTCAATTTTCCAACCCTGGTTTGCCATGTTATTGATTTTGCAAATGTTGCAACAACATCCACCCAATCATTATCATGAAATAATAGCCATCTAGATCGACAAGTCTAGTATGGATGAATGGAAATTATATCAATAAGCAATAAAGTTTTAAAAGTCCACATTTGTATGCACATTATCATACCTGCAAAGTAATATACTTTGAAAATACATCTTTCTTTATTCTATCAAAACAAAAAGATTGACACTTCTTTCTTTCTAATGTTTCCTCAAATTGTTCTTCACACCAATAAACTAATCTACGTGGGTTGTTCTCCATGAGTCTAAAAAATTTTGTGGTATCACAATGTTCCATTCGCTTGATAGTCCAAATGAAAATAAAGGATTGAAATAGAATTAATGGTTGTCATTTATATAATAATTTATTATTGATGTATTCCATCTTTTTATAGTAATAATCAAAGACATTTAACCATTGTTAGCATATTACCTCCATGCTATCCTCTATCTCTTTTCTTGTCCATTTCTCTTTTCCATGTATTTTATGTAAACATTTATAAAACAAAGATAACCCATTCTCGCAGTCTTTTACTGACAAGTCATTACATATATGATAAATGAAGAAATCAAGTGGTGTTACAAGATGAGGATCATATATGACAAAAAATCTTTTTGATATTTCACCGTCATTGTTGTTTTATTTATTTTTTGATTTCTTTCTTCTTTATTGTACAAAGAAATTAAACAATTTCATTAAAATGAGTTAAAAGTAACTAGAGTAATGATGAGCAGCAGGCGATAACCACCACCACCATCCTTAAAACACTTATCCAGCAATATCTTCTTGTTGATTTTTTTGTTTTCTTTTAATTGAAAAAGACATTGAAAAGAAGTTTGTTATTTGATCGACATGTACATGCTAATTATTTATCCTATTGGTTTTTTTTTTCTGGTAGGACAGACACAAATGATTTTTTTTTTTTTTTGGAAAAACAATTAATAATTTATTTTTTGACAGAGTCCAAGGTGACAAAACGTGAGTGTTGTTGTTTGGTTTGGGTCTCCTAAAGAAAATGTGTTAATAACTAACCAGAGGTACTTTTTTTTTTTACTTGTATTGATTGATATTTTTGGTTATTATAAATATTTTAATTGGAAATCAAAATGTGGAGCAGATCATTGCTGGGTAATTACAAGATTTTCATTGATAATATTTTGCTTTTCGTAATTGTAATAATATTAATAATATTATTATAATTACAAGATGTCAAGGCAGCACACTGTTGAAAAAGAAACATTTCAATATGCAATGTTTGATTATCGGAAATTTACAGGCGTTGAAGCATGCACGCTGCCTTGAACACACTATAGTCATTCACATCTTCCTCGTGTACACTCCCCTATAAAAAATTTCCGGACACCTGATGATCAACAAAAATAATTGGGTAAACGTTTAATATAAATAGTCATTTTTTTACTAAGCAAGTCGACACTGTGCATCAGTAAGAAAATGTTTGTCGAAATGATTTATATAACACTTTAAAATATCACATCTGACCGATCATTATTGACGATTTTATGATATTTAAAAGTCAAATTGAAAATTTTTGAAAAATTTTTGAAAAATTTGCACTTAGAGCTATTTTAAGATACTATATTTCAACACATCTTGGGAACTTAGAAAATGTCGTTCCGTTT